AAGTCGGTAGGTCCTGCTCCCCGGCGCGGGCTCGTTCGCGAGGCGGCGGGCGGCGGGGTGTCCCCAGGGAACGCTGCGGGTTCGACCGTGGGGCGGCCAGGAGGAAAGCGTGTGCTTGGCGTACGTGCCCCGAACCCGGTCCTGCCAGCCCGCTTACCTTACCTGGGTCAGGGTCGCTCCTTTTTTTTTTTTTTCTTTTTAAATAGATTTTTGCCATAAGGCGTGAGCGGTCTCCGGAGAGGGAGAGACAGAGATAGTGAGAGGGAAAGTCAGAAATCACCCCCTGAGGGATGGCCTCCGATCTTCTCCCGGGATCTTGGCAAGCATACGAGCGAGGCGGGAGTGTTGAGCCGCCGTTCTGTGCTCCAGCTGTGGTCGCTTAAGTGAGAGTCCAGCGAGGTAGCCACTACGTCGTCTGTGGGTTCCACCTTCGCCTTTTAACTGGCAGCCATCCGGAGGTGTCTGTTCTTCCCTGACGGTAGTGGCCCTGCTCAGCACGGTGGCTCTGCAGATTCGCACAGGGGCAGATTTCTGTGGAGCACTTGTCTGAACGTTCATTCTGGCTCAGGAAAGTTTGACTAACTGCTCACTGTCACCCTGTCCTTCAGGGCCAGGGTGTTACTGGCAGGTTTGCGTGGGATCTCATAGCCCCAGGGCCCAGGGGTGGTTCCCAGGTCCACCTGAGTACTCCAGGGTGGCCCACATCCTGTGTCCCTAGCTGGTTGGAAGGCTGGGCCGGGGGATTCAGGACCCAGGGAGACAACCCTCTTATCTCCTCTCTCCTCCCTGCCACCCCCCCACTACAAATACAGGCCAAAAACTCAATATCAACAGGTCGTGTGTATATAAGTTGATAACATGATTCAAGAGTGTGTTGGTGGGGGAACGTTCACTGATAATTCTCAGGTAATTTGGCATTGCTTTATATTTTCAAAAAAAAATGTCATTTATCAGATGGTATAATGGTTCCATCGCTGGATTCCCACATAGTCGACTGTGGTTCAAGTCCTGTACACGGCGGCTTAAAACTCATGCCAGGCACGTGTGCATGCGTGCCCCAAATCCCAGGGGAACAGAGGAGAAGGGATTGCGATGTGGCCATCCCTCCTGGGGAGCGATTTCTCACTTTCTGTTTCTCTGTATAATTGTTTAAGGTATTTATTGTTCACTCCAGCATACAGCACAGGTCCCTGTATGTTAACGGACTGCTTAAGCTTACATAGCTAGTAAGGAGTTGGAACCGTTGGTGCATACATGACGCTAAACAAATCCAATGGTGGTGGGCATCTACTTCTGTCTCTTTCTCTTTCTCTCTCTCTCTCATAGTTTTCTTATTTCTAGAAGACCAGAAGTGAGTTTATTTTTAGTTTTTTGAAGTTATGAAGGAAAACACAGGAGGTATATTACTGGTTCTTATCTTTTCTCCCCAAGGGTAACTTTTCCTCCATTCCAGTTGTTAGAATTTTTATCTCAGAATCCTTAGCTGGGGCTATGTGCATATCTACGCATGTGCGTGTATACACACACATTTGTTTGTTCTAGGTTTTTGCTATAGGGTATGTGGTCACCAGAGAGGACAGAAAGGACCCAGTACACTGCAGAGATGGCTGTGCCACAGTGCCTTCTGTTAGGGCTTTGGGCACACTGCGCACACTCAGCAGTGATTTTAAAGCCAGTGACCCGCACATTCAACCATGTGGGACTTGGCACCCTAACTAGCTCTGTGCCATTTGCTGGCTCACCTGTGCTGTGAGCTTTTGGGCCAGTCCTGTAGCTCAGTACAGGGAGCCAGACCTCACATGGTTGACAGTGATTCAAGTCCCAACCCCTCTGGCTTGAAGAAAACACCAGATGCATAAATATGTGTGCTCATAATCCTGACAAGATTATGGAGTGGAGGAAGAGGATTGCAGCAGGACCATGCCCCATGTGGTGGTTCACTCTCACACTCTCTCTCTCTGACAAGCATACATGCCCTCTGGGAATTTAAAAAGAAAAAAGAGATAACTTATCAAAAAATGAGGATAAGCTGAATATTAGAAATGCAAACACAAGTCTTTTTTTATAATGTAGTCTTTTCACAGTAAATTAGATAGATCCCTTAACTAAAATGGCAACTTCGTTGTATGTGGTCAACGTGTGAAATTTCCAATACTGAGCATACAGTGGCAATGTCACTGTGACAGGTAATAGGAGACATAGATTGTGAGAGATTATCTTGAGACCACAGCAAATTTTAGATCTATAAATATTAAAATAGCATATAATTTCAACTCTAAAATACCATAAAGTGGGGGACCAGCAGATGGTGTAGTGATTGTGTTGCTGGAGTCCCACATGGTTGACTATGGTTTGAGTTCCAGACCTAGCAAGTTCTAACTCAGGCCAGGGAGTATGTATGTTTCCAAAATCCCAAGAGGAGACTGGAGGAGAGGGGATTGGGGCATGGCCAACCCCCTGGCAGGTGAGTTCTCATTTTCTGTCTTTATGGTGAGCACAGGTATCCTATAGCACAAATTTCTCCCAAAAAATATAATTAGTAGCTCTTTCCTGCTATACAAGATGGCAGGTGAAAAAGCTGCAAAGCATGGGACCAGCAGTTAGCGTAATGGCTATGTCGCTGGACTCCCACGTAGTCGACTGTGGTTCTAGTCCTGGGCCCAGTGGCTTAAAACTCACGTCGGGCGCGTGTGCGTGCATGCCCAAGATCCCGAAAGGAGAGAATGGTGGAGAAGGGATTGCGACGTGGCCATCCCCCCTGGGGGGTGATTTCTCTCTTTCTGTCTCTCTGTCTGTCTCTGTCTGTCTGGCCAGCGCACGCGCCCTATAGCAAAAACTTCTCAAAAAGAAAAAGAAAGAAAGAAAAAAGCTGCAAAGCGGGATACTAAGGAGAAGAAATCTGAAGCCAAGAAGGCTGATGCCAGGGACCAGCAGTTATTGTAATGGCTATGTTGCTGAACTCCCACGTAGTCGACCGTGGTTCGAGTCCCAGACCCAGTAGCTTAAGCTCATGCCGGGCTCGTGTGTGTGCGTGCCCAAGATCCCGAGAGGAGAATGGAGGAGAAGGGATTCTGGTGTGGCCATCCCTCCTGAGGGGTGATTTCTCGCTTTCTGTCTCTCTGTCTGTCTGGCAAGCGCATGCGCCCTGTAGCAAAAACCTCTCCAAAAAAAAGAAAATAAAGAAAATTTAAAAAAAAGAAGGCTGATGCCAGTGACGAGGTTAAAAAGGGTGACCCCAAGGCTAAAAAGTCCAAGAAGGGGAAGCCTCATTGCAGCTGAAACCCCGTCTTGGTCCAGGGCATCGGCAGATACTCCTACCTGCCTTGTATTTCAGGAAGGCTGTGTACAAGAGGGAATACTCGGCCACCAAATCCAGGATTGAAAAGAAAAAGAAGGAATGTTCTTGCAGGTGTCACAAAACCAGTTGGTGGACACAAGAATGGTGGTACCTGGGTGGTTAAGCTGCACAAAATGCCTAGGTATTATCCTACTGAAGATATGCCTCGAAAGCTGTTGAACCACAGCAAAAAACCCTTCAGTCAGCATGTGAGAAAGCTATGAGCCAGCCTCACTCCAGAGCAACAAATAAAATCTGCTAATGGATGGAATTTTGTCAAATTTACTTTTTTCTTTTTTATTGGAGAGGTTTTTGCTATAGGGCACATGCCCTCGCCAGAAAGACAGAGACAGACAGACAGAAAGCGAGAAATCACCTCCCGGGGGGATGGCCACACCGCAATCCCTTTCTCCTCCATTCTCCTCTTGGAATCTTGGGCATGCACGCACACACGCCCAGCATGAATTTAAGCAACTGGGTCTGGGACTCGAACCGTGGTCGACTACATGGGAGTCCAGCGACGTAGCCAGTACACTAACTGCTGGTCCCCCCAGTCCCTTTCACTGGAGCTGTGCAATGATGGTGAGCTCTGAGGCAATAACGCCTTGGGAGATGAATATTTGGGTGAACTGTGGGGCTATCTAGGACCCACTGACCAAGGCTTCCCTCCCCTCTCCTTATTGCTGCATGTTCTACAGTTCTAATTGCACGAAGGAGGGCCCTCAGCATTCGTGTGTGTGTGTGTGTGTGTGTGTGTGTGCCCCAGCCATAAAGTTAATATCGGAAAACTATTGATCCTTTCACATTTTTTTAAAAGAATGTATGTATGTATGTATGTATGTATGTATGTATTATCTTTTACATGAGTTTTGCCAGAGAAACACAGTGAGAAAAAGAAAGAGAGTGAGAATGTAAGCCGCCAGGGCCGGAATTCAAACCACAGTCAGCCATGTGGGAAGTCCAGCACCTTAACCACCACGCCACCTGCCGGCCCCTCACATTCCTTTTAAAAGCTATCTCCAGGCCAGCGGGTGGTGTGACCAAGGGCACTAGATTCCCATGTGGCCAGCTGCAGTTTGAATCTTGGACCTGGTGGCTTGCTTTTTCACTTGCCCTCTTCCTCTCCTCTTTCTCTGTCCTTCTCTGGTCAAATTTAAATAAATATATAAATAAAGTTAAATAAAGTAATTCTTTTTTTTCCTTTTTTTTAAAAAGAAAAGGCTGGGACCAGCAGTTAGCATAATGGCTATGTCGCTGGACTCCCACGTAGTCGACCGCGGTTCGCATCCCAGACCTGGTGGCTTAAAACTCACGCCGGGCGCGTGTGCGTGCGTGCGTGCCCAAGATCCCGAGAGGAGAATGGAGGAGAAGGGACTGCGGCGTGACCATCCCCCCTGGGGGGTGATTTCTCACTTTCTGTCTCTATGTCTGTCTCTGTCTGGCGAGCGCAAGCACCCTATAGCGAAAACCTCTCAAAAAGAAAAAAAAAAAAGAGAAAGCTATTGCAAATAAAAAGAATGAGGACAGGGACCAACAGATAGCGTGACAGTTATGTTGCTGAACTCCCATGTAGTTAACTGTAGTTCGAGTCCCAGACCCAGTGACTTAAAACTCATGCCGGGTGTGTGTGTGTGCACGTTCCAAGAAGACAACGGAGAAGGGCCTATAGCGTGGCTATCTGTGCTGGGGTGTGATTTCTTACTCTATCTCTCTGTGTCTCTGGTGAATGAGTGTGCCCTATAGTAAAAGTGTCTTAAAGAAATGAGGAACAAAGACTAACACAGTAATTGCTGATGTGCCAGGTAGTATTCTAATTGCTTTATCACGTGGTCAGTTTTCATAATGATCTTTATTATTCCTGGTGTTACAGATAAGAAAACAGGCATAGATGAGTTGAGAGAGGATCAAAAGCACACTGTCTGAGAGTAAAACCAGTGTCTTCACTGTCCATCTGGATAGTTGCCTTTGTGGCATGTATGCCCGTGGTTGACGGTATTACTGCCCTGCAATACTCACCATTTAAAATTACACTTCAGCAAAGTGCAATATTAAATAGTGTCATAAGTCCTTAGGTCAATGTTGCTACTGCTCAGTCCATGAAGGCCAAGAGTCTTGTGTTCCGTGCCTTACACGTGCAGCAGAGCCTAGGTGACTTGCTGATCTGTGACAAGGAGAATTTGAACCTTTAACCCACTATGCTTTTTCTTCCTTGTACACACACCTCTGAGACCTGCCTATGTGCATTCAGCCTGTAATGTCCATTCTTACCCACTATTTTTTTAACCATCAGAATTCTTTTAAGAGGTTTTTTGTCTTAGGTGTGTGCACACTTGCTGGATAGACAGACAGATGAGAGGGAAAGTGAAGAATCACCCCCTGGGAGGATGTCCACCCTTCATTCTCCTGGGATTTGGGGCATGCATGCACACATTCCTGGCGTGATTTTGAAGCCACTGGGTCTAAGACTCGAACCGTGGTCAGCCATGTGTGATGGGAATTGGGCACTCTTCCGCCTACACGGTTTCTTCTCTAAGATGGCCAAGCTCCGGTCCTGCTTTCCCCTGAGCATCATTTGGTGGTCAAAACATCTGTTCTCACTTTTTTGATGCTCAGGGATCCATACCAACCAGGGAGAAAGCACCTTGCAGTGGGCGTGGTTAGGCTGCTTTTCTCCATTCCTCCACACACATGCTCAGGAGGGCTGGGGTTCACACCAAGATTGTACACGTAGGATCTGGCTTTCCATCCACAGCACCTAACCACTGTGCTACAAGTCCGGCCCAAAACACCTGTTTTAAAGGAAACTACAATTTTTCATCTTTCCTCCATTGACAACCTTGCATACCCTCTCCAAATTCTGTTTTGCCAGTAACCTGCAGAGCCACCTATAGCTGGCCTTTGCCCTGAAAGCTTGTGTTGTTCTGAAGGTCTGTACCGGCTGTCGGTCGCACTTTGTCCCCATTCTGGCCTATTCGTTTTGCCGAATCCTCCATGCAGCAGTTTTCCAGCAGGAGCTTGGGAGTCAGACCAAGTCGGATTTGAATTCTGAAGTGGCTTCTGTCAGCTTCTGACCTTGGTTTCCATCTCTGAAGCAAGAATGAATTTAAGTGTTTGGCACATGACAGGTGTTAATGAGTGGTAGGGTCTGTGTTGTTAATTGAATTTATGCATGTTTTCTTTTCAGAGGGCCCGGGCCCAGCACATTGTACCCTGTACCATATCTCAGCTGCTTTCTGCCACTCTCATTGATGAAGTGTTCAAAATTGGGCATGTTGAAATTTCACAGGTATGTAAGAGAACTTGAGAGTCATTTAATCATATGAAGAATAAAATAAAACTTATCCTCATTTAAAATATGTAAATGTAGGCCAGCAGGTGATGCAGTGGTTAAAAGCACTGGAGTCTCACGTGGCCTACTGTGGTTCGAGTCCCAGACCTGGTGGCTTGCTCTCTTACTTTCCCTCTCTCTCTGTCTCTGGTCAAATTAAAAAATAATCATAACAAATGGAATTAAACAGATACTGGGGTGTGTGTGTAAATGTTGCTTTGGTTTCCAAGAAAAGGAAACTTTCTTTTTTTTTTTTTTTTTTTTGAGAGGTTTTTGCTATAGGGTGTATGCACTTGCCAGACAGACAAGAGACAGAGAGACAGAAAGTGAGAAATCACCCCCCAGGGGAGATGGCCACATCACAGTCCCTTCTCCATTCTCCTCTCGGGATCTTGGGCACGCACACGAGCCCGGCATGAGTTTTAAGCCACCGGCTCCGGGATGTGAACCGTGGTCAACTGCGTGAGAGTCCAGTGACATACCATTATGCTAACTGCTAGTCCCAATAAACTTTCTTTTTCTAAACCAGGTCACGATCGTGGGGATAATCAGACATGCCGAGAAGGCGCCAACCAACATTGTTTACAAAGTAGATGACATGACAGCTGCGCCTATGGATGTCCGCCAGTGGGTTGACACAGATGTAAGTGGCTGCTTTTGAACGAGGGTGATGATGTTACTTCTAAGGTATTGAATTTCTTTTAGTCTTACTTGTAAACTATTTTTATTTTTATTTTTTGCATGAGAGAGAGAAGCACTCGCTTCAGGGTTTCTCATTGCAGTTCCCTCCCACTGCCCTCCACCTTGGCAGGACCTAGGACGTCTGCCTTGCTTACATTCAATGTAGAAGATTTTTATAATAAACAATTGTTTTCATTTCAAAAACCACAAGTTATCTATGAAGAAATTAATTTTTGCTTTCCAAAGAAACAGAGGAAAGTTGATTCAGTAGTTGTTTTGTGGAACTGATTCTGAACAAAGCCGTGCCCACTTCCGGGTGTATACAGAATGTGTGAACAGGTGTCTCTCTGTGACCACGTGGGAAGCTAGCAGGTGGTCGGGACAGTCGGGCTGTGTTTACTATGCAAACATGTTTCGCGTTTCCGGACGACCCAGGAGATTCTGCAGACACCAACCAGGGCATGCTCAGAGAGAGTGTACTGTTTCCCTGGGAGACATTCAAGGCGACCTGGAATCTCGCTCCCCAGAGATAACTGCCATTACAGCACATTTGATAAATGCCCTTTGAGCATGTCTTTCTGAATTACTGGACGTATAGATAACAGGCATATATTGGGTTGTCTAGAAAGTCACGATGCATTTTGCATAGAAAAATACATTGTGATTTGCCCTTCAACCTAATGGTTTTACTGTGGAAAAGGATAATGAGGGAACAGCGGGTGGCATGGTGGTTAGGGCACTGGACTTTTAAATGGCTGATCACGGTTTGAGTCCTGGATGTGGCACTTGCTTTCTAACTTTCTCTCTCTGTTCCTATCTGTGGTCAAATAAAATAATAATAAAATTGAATAAATCTTTTGAAAAAGGATAATGATAATTAACTCCTGTAATCTGTTTTTTCACTCAAAACTCTGTTCTGAAATTTTTTTTTTTGGTATTATTATAATTTATTTTAAGAATTATTTTATTTAACTTCATTTGTCTGTTTATTTATTTTTTCTTTTTTGGAGAGGTTTCTGCTATAGGGCATGTGTGATTGCCAGAAAGACAGAGAGAAACACAGAAAGTGAGAAATCATCCCCCGGGGGGATGGCCACGCTGCAACTCCTTCTTCATTCTACTCTCAGGATCTTGGGCATACACATGCATGTGTCCAGTGTGAGTCTAAGCCACCAGGTCCAGGACTTGAACTATGGTCGACTACATGGGAATCCAGCAACATAGCTATTACACCAACTCCTTCATTTGTTTATTTGAATTTCACCGGAAAGAAAGAAAGTGAGAAAGCAAGCCACTAGGTCCAGGACTCAGACTGCGGTCGGCCATGTGAGAATCCAGCACTTTTACTATGCAAGTATGCCACTTGCTGGCCTTATTTATATTTTACTTTTTTAAAAAATGTATTTAATTATATTGATTCATTTATTTTAATTTGACCAGGGAGAGAGAGAGAGACAAGGAAAGTGAGAAAGCAAGCCACTGGATCCGGTATTCGAACTGCAGTTGGCCATGTGGGAGTGTCCAGCGCCTTAACCACCGCGCCACCTGCTGGTCCCACTTACATTTATTTTTACTTACTTATGTTTATTTACTTACTCCTGTTTATTTAATAACTTACTTACTCATATTTATTTACTTATTTACTTAATTATTATTTATTTATTTTTAAAGGAGATTTTTGCTATAGGGTACGTGCTCTCACCAGAGAGACAGACCAAAAGCAAGAAATCACCCCCAGGGGATGGCTATGCTGCAGTTTCTCTCTTCCATTCTCCCCTTGGAGAGATCTTTTTTTTTTTTTTTTTTTTTTTATTTTTTTTTTTTACTTTTTTTTTTTTTTTTAATTTATTTGTCTACGTTCATTCACTGTACATCGTTACAGCATACAAAATCAGATTTTCCATCCAGAGTACACTGTATATTGTCTCAATCAAGCACATCAACATACATGTTATTGTCAACAAATAATTTTCCATTTCTTGTTTCCTATATGTTTTGCTTCCCCCTCTACCCTTGGGATCTTTTTAAACCTCCAGGTCCGGGACTGGAACCGCCATTGACTATATGGGAGTCTAGCAACAAAAATACACATTTTCCTTGCTATTTTGGTTTCTACCCTAGGGCACATGTGCTCATAGGAAAAACAGTGAGTGGGAGAGTAAGAGATTACCCTTGGGAGAGTGGCCACACTCAGCCCCTTCTGAGAGAGTGTCATGTCTTCCTGTGAGCTCGCTTTGGTTTCTACCATAGGACACGTGTGCTCACAGGAAAGATGTGAATGGGAGAGTAAGAACTCACCCCCTAGGAGGGTGGCCACACACAGCCCCTTCTGGGAGAGTGTCATTTCTTCATATTCTTCCTGCGAGCTCATTTTAGTTCTTTTGCTGGGGGTTATATACACTTGCCAGAGAGAGACAGAGATGAGAGAAGGAGAAAGTGTGGCCCCAAAGGGGTGGACCACTATGATCCCTTCTCCATTCTCAGGGTCTGGGCACACACACAGGTGCCTGACATGCTTCTCCAAACCTCCTGGTCTGGGACTCACACCAGTGAATTGGCTGTGTGGGACCCAGCCACCTTAGCCTCCATGCTGCCTGCTGGCCCCCCACTGAGTTTTAAGAATCTTGAATTTTTGCCACTACAATAGTGTTTTGTTTGGGGGAACTTTTTTCCAAATAGTCTTTTCAGTGAGAACTGAGAATTATGTCCATCCTTTTTTTACTTTGATGTTTTGTTTTTGTTTGTTTTTTGTTTTGTTTTGTTTTGGAGAGGTTTTCGCTATAGGGCGCGTGCGCTCGCCAGACAGACAGAGACATAGAGACAGAAAGCGAGAAATCACCCCCCAGGGGGGATGGTCACGCCACAATCCCTTCTCCTCCATTCTCCTTTCGGGATCTTGGGCACGCACGCATACGCGCCCGGCGTGAGTTTTAAGCCACCGGGTCCGGGACACGAACCACTGTCGACTACGTGGGAGTCCAGCGACATAGCCATTACGCTAACTGCTGGTTCCCAGCCAGAGAGAGTTTTGTATAGGGTGTGTGTGCTCATTCCCTTCTCCGTTCTCAGGGTTTGGGGCACGCATGTACATGTGCCCAGCATGAGTTTCAAGCTTCTGGGTCTGGCACTCAAACTATGTTTAGCCGTGTTCGAGTCCAGGGACAAAACCATAATGCCATTTGCTGGTCCCTCTTCCTTGGTCTTTGTAGGGTTCTCCTTTTACTGTGTTCAGTGCTGTTGTGGAGTGTTGTATAGCTTTTCTCCTGAGTCCTATGGTTCTTCACCTCCAGGAGTATTTGTTAGTAAGAGTTGGAAAAATAGTAAGTTTGTCATAAGTAGGCAATTTCTTAGGCAATTTGTCTTTTAGCTTTGAAAATTTTTTATAGTCCCGGGGCCGGCAGGTGGTGTGGTGGATGAGGGCGCTGGACTCTCACATGGCCAACCACGGTTTGAGTCTCGGACCTGGTGGCTTGCTTTCTCACTTTCCCTTCTCATGCTCGCTCTCTCTCTCTCTTTCTGGTCAAATTAAAAATAATAATAATAAAATGAATGAATAAATAAAATAAAAATTTATAGTCCCAAAGTATTTTTGGCTCTTGGTGTTTGGAGAGGATGGAAGAGAAAATTACCTTCGGGGTCTCACCATTTGTGTCTTCTGTCCCATCCTCCTGCATGACTGCAGCCACAGACAGTAGCACTGTGCACCTCTGTGCAGCTCTGAGGCTAGACCTCAAATTTAGCTTTTAATGGTCCATATTTTTTTTATTATTATTTTACAATTTCTTCTTAACTTTGCTCCATTTGTAATATATTTGATAAAAGGGACTTAGAGATTTGACTTTACTTTGCTCATACTTTTTTTTTTTTTTCCTTTCTTAGCGAGATTTTTGCCATAGATGATGTATACTCACAGGAGATACAGAGAGACAAAAAGCAAGAAATCGTCCCCTGGGGGATCGCCACGCTGCAATCACTTCTCTATTCTCTCGGGATCTTGGGCACGTACGCACATGCGCCCAGCATGAGTTTAAGCCATCAGGTCCAGGACTCGAGCCACGGTTCGCTACATGGGAGTCCAGCGATAAAGCCATTATGCCCACTGCTGATCCCAGCCTCATATGGTTTTAAGTTATCTGTGGGGGCCGGCAATTGGTTTGCTAGTTAAGGGCACTGGACTCCCACATGGCTGACCTTGCTTTGAGTCCTCGACCTGGCAGTTTGCTTTCTCACTTTCCCTTTCTCTCTCTCTCCCTCTCTCTCTCTCTCTTTCTTTCTCTCTGTCTCTCTGATCAAATTTTAGAAATAATAAGAATAAATAAAATTAAACAAAATATTTTTTTCTTTTTTTTTTTAAACTAAAAGTTACCTGTGGTTCCAGTAGGTGACCTGGTGGTTGCAGACGCTGGACTCCCACATGGCCGACCACCTTTCAAGTACCAGACCTGGCAGCTTGCTTTTTCACTTTTTCTCTCTCACTTTCATTCTCTCTCTCGTCAAATTAAGATAAGTAAAGTTCAATAAAATAAATGTTTATTTAAAAAGTTACCTGTGGGAATACAAAGTTTTATCTGTGGTATCAGTTCAACTGTAAAATTATAAATGGAGTGACGAGACCAGCAGTTGGTGTAATGGCTATGTCGGTGGACACCCATGTGGTTGACCATGGTTTGAGTCCCAGACCCAATGGCCTAAACCCACGCTGCACGTCTGTCCGGGTGGTCCCACCTGAGCGTGTGTGCGTGTGTGCCCAAGATTCCGAGAGGAGAAAGGAGGAGAAGGGATTGTGGTGTGGCCCTCCTGTCTGGGGGGGTGATTTCTCACTTTCTGTCTCTCTGTCTTTCTGGTGAGTGCACACACCCTATTGCAAAAACCTCTCCCCCCAAAAAAAATTATCAATGGAGTGAAATGCAAAACTAAGTCCTGCTCCATGTGATGGGGTTTTATTTTTTAGCTACAGGGCACATGTGCTAGCTGGAGAGACAAAGAATGCACCCCCTTGGGGGATGGCCACACTACAGTCCTTTCTCTGTTCTCCTTGGGCTGTTGGGCACACTCACCTGTGCCCAGAGTGTTTCTCAATTGACTAGGTCCAAGACGCGAACCATGCAGTTGGTATGTGGGGCCCAGCCACCTTCCTCTGCACCACCTGCCACCCCTGCAGTGTTCTCCGTGTTTTTATCTAGAATTTTGCTACAGGGCACATGTACTCGCCAGAGAGAGCCTGGGACAAAGAGAAAGTGAGAAAGCACCCCACAGTGGGAGGGCAGTGCTGTAGTCTCTTCTCCGTTCTCCTGGGACCTGGGGCGCACACACGGGCCCGACACGTTTCTTGGGCCACTGGTCTGGGACTGGGACTGCTGCCATGTGGGTCCAGCACCCTAACTGCTACACCACTTGCTGGCCTCGGGTTTAACTTGACCAGAGAGAGATGGGGGGGGTGATGTGAGAAAGCAAGTCGCCAGTCAAGGACTCAGACTGCGGTCGGCCACCTGGAAGCCTAGCGCCCCAACCACCAGGCCCCTGCCAGCCCTGTGTACTTTATACTTTTTTTTTTTTTTCATACTTCATACTTTTAAATACATGTATTTTATATAATCAGAAAAGAACTTTAAAATCAGCTAATATATTTTTCTCATAAATAATACCTACATATTTTAGAAGACTCAAAAACAAAATCAGTGGGGATTATTCCACTTAGCTGTTGTTAACATGCTGATGCGTGATAGTCCCCTACATGAAAAATGAACTTTCCTCCTGAGTTACGATTGGTCTCCCCAGGCAGTGCGCCATGCTCTGCGTGGGCATTGCAGCAGTGTGGGGTGCCCCGTGGTGTAAGTGGGTACCTTGTGCTCAGTAACCTGTGCCGCGGTGAGTCTCACCCCCCACGCGTGTTCATGACTGCCTCTTCAGTCCCTGGAAGTAAAACCTGCCAGTCGGTACCGCCTCCATAAAACAGTATACCTGAGAGCTGTGAGTGACAGTCACATGTGCTTCCTCCTTTTGTCACAGGGTACAGACATGAGCTAACGGGGAGAGAAAAGCAGCCCAAGTGAAGTGTGCTAGCCTCTGCCCCGTTGGAATCTGGTCACTCACATGTGCCGCAAGCTGTAGGGGCTGGGATTTGAATTGCATGGTCAGCCACTGGGATCTGGTATGGAGTTTGGAACTGGAAATCACCTTTAGAGATACTTTAATTCTTGATTTTACCCAAAAAGATCTAAGAGACTGGAGTAACAAATACCACATTGGGATTTTAGCTCTCTACATAGTACAGACATTAAAGGGGCTCTGGGACCAGCAGTTAGCGTAATGGCTATGTCGCTGGACTCCCACGAGTTGACCACGGTTCGCATCCCGGACCTGGTGGCTTAAAACTCACGCCGGGCGCGTGTGTGTGTGCGTGCCCAAGATCCCGAGAGGAGAATGGAGGAGAAGGGATTGCGGCATGGCCATCCCCCCTGGGGGGTGATTTCTTGCTTTCTGTCTGTTTCTGTCTGTCTGGCGAGCACATGCGCCCTATAGCAAAAACCTCTCCAAAAAAAAGAAAAAGAAAGGGGCTCTTACCCAGCATTACTAAAACCTGGGATCCATTTCCATCTTTATCCGTTAGGACGCCAGCGGTGAGAACACTGTGGTTCCTCCAGACACATATGTGAAAGTGGCTGGCCATCTGCGATCTTTTCAGGTAAAATGGGAATAAAATGGCAGTTAAAACGTATTTACATGAAGCAGTTTCTGGGTTTAGGGGACTTGAGTCTCTGTAATGGAAGTGATTTCATTCTCTTCTTTAGAAGAAAATAACTGGTTTTCATTTTAATAGGAAAGCAACAGAAAAGAAAGGAAAGAGTAGAACCTCCCTACAGGCACGCTGTGGCATTTGTCAGGTGTATCAGAGGAGGGCCGGATTAGGACTGAGGCAACTACTGTGCCTGGTCGATCGTGTGACCTTGGGCAAGTCGTGAACGTCTCTGAGCCAGCGTTGGGAGCTTCCTTGTGGGCTGTTTGGGTCACTTCTGAGTCAGCGTTTAAGTCCGTTACCTTTTCCCCACACTGACAAAAATTACACCAAAGAAAGCCACAGTGTTTTGGCCTGAGACCGACTTCAGTTCTCTCATCTCTTTTATTTTATTTTATTTTTTAAAATATTTTTGCTATAGGTACTCACCAGAGAGACAGAAAGGGAGAAATCACCCTCCAGGGGAATGGCCAACACCGTAATCCCTTCTCCCCTCAGGAGTCTCGGCACGCATGCAAACGCGCCCCGCGTGAGTTTTAAGCCACCAGGCCCAGGACTCGAACCACAGTCCACCATGCAGGAGTGCAGTGACACAACCTTTATGCCATCGGCTGGCCCTGAGTAAGCTCCTCTCTGATACACATTTTCTTTTCTATTTTAATAGAACAAGAAGAGCCTGGTAGCCTTTAAGATCATGCCCTTGGAGGATATGAACGAGTTCACCACACACATTCTGGAAGTGGTCAACGCACACATGACGCTGAGCAGCCCCAGCAAGCAGGTGGGACGTTCCTCCTCCTCCAACGCAGGCTGGTTTCATGCCGGCTTTGACTTTCTCAGCGTTCCGAGGAGGGTTGAGGAGAGGCCTCGCTGTCATGCAGCCGTCTCCTCCATAGCTTCTCTGTTGTCTTATTCTACATGAGACGCATGTTTCTCTGGGTTCCAGGGTTTTCTGACCCCGCTGGCCTGAAAGGCTGAGGCCGGAGACACTCTTGAGAGGGATTATGGGTACTGAGCTCTTAGCTCCAGGAACCTCTGCCCAGATTCAGAGGGCATCCTGAGAGGGACAGCTATGTGCTGCTTCCCTTCCAGCCTATCGGCTGCGTGTTTCTTGGTTTAGATCAGGATTTGTCCACGTTACTTAGTATTGTGTGAATTGACTTCAGCAAGTTCAAGTAAGACTACACAGTTTGTGGGTTCTAGTATTAAAAAGTCCTTAGATGAGAACCAGCAGACGACATAATGGTTACATCACTGGAGTCCCATGTATTCGGCCGCGGTTTGAGTACTGGATCCTGCGGCTTAAAACTCATGCCGGGCGTGTGCGCGTGCGTGCCCAAAATCCTGAGAAGAGGCTGGAGGAGAAGGGATTGTGATATGGTCATCCCCCCTTGAGGCGATTTTTCTTTCTGTCTCTCTGCTCCTCTGTCTCTTCAGCAAGCACACATGCCCTATAACAAAAACCTCTTTTTAAAAAGGGAGAGGGGCTGGACTCCTACATGGCCGACCATGGTTCAAGTCCCGGACCTGGTAGCTTGCTTTTTCACCTTCTCTCTCTCTCTCTCTCTGATCAGTTGGAAAATAATAACAACAAGTAAAGTTAAAATAATTATTTAATAAAAAGTCCTTAGATTATTCTGGGAGTAAGAGCACAGTGAGAGACTAGAGAACTGAGGCGCCCCTACGGACTCTGTTGTGTCCCACTCTTGACAAGCACCATGCTAAGACCTGGTGCACAGAGGTGAGCTCCTCCATTTTCGTGTGGATGATACCAGCTGCTGGTCCCGGTCTGACTTACCTTTTAAAAATCTTACTCAGTGGGACCAGCAGTTAGCATAATGGCTATGTCACTGGACTCCCATATAGTCTATCGCGGTTCGAGTCCCAGACCCAGTGGCTTAAACTCACACTGGGCATGTGTGCATGCGTGCCCAAGATCCCGAGAGGAGAAGTGAGGAGACGGGATTGCGGCATGGCCATCCCTCCTGGGGGTGATTGCTCGCTTTCTGTCTTTCTGGCGAGCGCGCGTGCCGTAGAGCAAAAAACCTCTCCAAAAGAAAAAAATCTTACTCGGACTAGCCCCATTGCCTAGTGGTTAGGGAATCAGATCCCACATGGCTGGCTGCAGTTCAAATTCCAGCCCCAGCAGCTTGAAAAACACGTAGGGCACATGTGTGTGCCCGAAATCCTGACAGGTCGGAGAGAGGGAGGAGGGTATTGTGGTGTGACCTCACCCGTTCTGGGTGTTCTTCCCTCTCTGTCTCTGGAGGGTACACATGTCCTCTGGCCATTAAAGAGAAAGGCAAGGCTGCTGTGTGGGCGGCGCTGCGGCACCAGTGTCTTACTCATCCCCGAGAGCAGGGCATTGTGGGGCAAGAAGTGGCTGGATTCCTTTTTTTTTTTTTTTTTTAATAAGAATTATCTTATTTAACTTTATTTATTATTTTAGTGTTCCCAGAAAGACACACATAGAGAGAGAGAAAGTGAGAAAGCACGTTTTCAGGTCTGGGACTCTAACCACGGTTGGCCGTGTGGGGTCTAGCACCCTGACCACCGCGCCACCTACCGGCCCCGGATTCTCACATATCTGAAAGGTAGCACTAGCAGGACTCCCAGAATATGGAGAAAAGGGAGGGTTCCAAAATGATGCTGGGTTTGATGCTGAAGCACCCAGATGAAGGCTTGGAGGATGGAACCCAGAGTTCCATCCTGGACTTACCAAGTATGAAGTGCCAATTGGAGGATGGAGGGGCTTATTGGATATGTGGGTCCAGGACTAAAGCAGGGGGCGGTCACAGAGAGACCACCTGGGAGTCGTCGATTTGCAGGGCTGTATAAAGCTGACACGAGCTGCGGGGCATGGAGGGGAGAGGCCTGGGCTCCCGCCATACCAACTTCTGAAGCCCAGAAACAAAGCAGAAGCAGCGAGAGTCAACAGAGTTGTGATTGGACAGTGAGGAACGTGGGCGGTGTGGCTCTGCAGAGTACCTGGACGCTGCTCCAAGAAGGGACGAGTAGAGACCACCTGGAAGACGGTTGGGACAGGGAAGGGCCGCGGTGGCCTTGGGAACCCAGGCTTCAGGACATTCAGGACAGAGGCTCTGGCCCCGCACGTGTGCTGGCAGGTCTGCTGTAGAGCCGTGGTGCTGGGGTTCCACTCCCCTGCCAGCCTGGGCAGGCCGAGAACTGTGGCATAGGCCTGTGGTCCTAGGTAATGGGACACTGCCCGGGCACAGCATGGCAAGCTCCTCAGAAGCCTCTCTCCCTGCTTTTTTTTTTTTTTTTTGAAGGATATTTTTGCTATGGATGCGTGCGCTCACCAGAGAGACAGAAAGCAAGAAATAACCCCCTAGGGGGTGGCCTTGCTGCAGTCCCATCTCCATCCCATTCTCTCAGGATTTTGGGCACATGTGCTTGGCATGAGTGTTAAACTTCCGTTCTAGGACTTAAACCATGGTTGGCTACATGGAAGTTTAGCGATGTAACCACTGCGCCATCTACTGGCCCCATATTTCTATTGATGACAAAAGAGGAGCTTCAGGGTCCGGAGAAAGGCTGCAGTATCCATCTCTGCTGCACTGCGTGCGTGTCACAGTGTGTGTGGGTGGCCTTCAGAAAGCCCATGGCAAGCATATCTCATGTAATCCTGCAGTGAGGGCCGTCAGGCGGCAGCGTGGTGTATGGTTCCCACGTGGCTGATCAGTGTTTGAGTGCCGGACCCGATACTTGAATATCATGCTGGGCATATGTGCACATGTGTGTGCCCAAAATCCTGAGAGGACAATAGAGAAGGGATTGCAGCATGGCCATCCCCACTCGAGGTGACCTCTCACTTTTGCCCTATTTCTCTGGCAAGTACACGCGCCATGTAGTGAAAGCCTAAGGAAGGTGGGGTGGTTTTTACAAATTCTTGTGCTTAGAGGGGCGGCAGGTAGCGTAGTGTTTAAGGGCGCTGGGCTCCCACTTGGCCTACTGCAGTTCAAGTCCTGGACCAGCACCTCACTTTCTCGCTTTCACTCTCGCTCTCTCTCTCTGTCCCTTTCTGGTCAAATTTGAGTGAATGAATAAATGAGTAAGTAAATTCTCTCTCTTTTTCTTGTTATCTTTTTTTTTTGAGAGAGATTTTCACTATAGGGCGCGTGCGCTCGCCAGGCAGACAGAGACATAGAGACAGAGAGCGAGAAATCACTCCCCGGGGGGATGGTCATGCCGCAATCCCTTCTCCTCCACTCTCTTCTCAGGATCTTGGGCATGCATGCACATGCGCCCGGCGTGAGTTTTAAGCCACCGGGTCCGGGACGCGAACCGCGGTCGACTATGTGGGAGTCCAGCGACATAGCCATTACACTAACTGCCGGTTCCCAATAAATTCTCTTTTTGAAAAAAGGAAATGTTCAGGACCAGCAGTTGGCGTAATGGCTATTTCGCTGGACTTCCATGTAGTCCACCGCGGGTCGTGTCCTGGACCCGGTGGCTTAAAACTCACGCCAGGCACATGTGCGTGTATGCCCAAGATCCTGAGAAGAGAATGGAGGAGAAGGGATTGCAGCGTGTTTGTTTTTTTTGAAGGGGGTTTTTCTCTCTCTCTGTCTGTTTGGCGAGCGCACATGCCCTATAGCAAAAAAAAAAAAAAAAAAGAAATGTTCGCGCTTAGATGAAGTTGTACTTTAAATCTATTTTCCCGTGAACTTTTTGAAGTGTCAAATAGTGTATGATAAAAATAATGGTAAGGTGAGCACAAGTAGAAACTCAAAGTGTAGAGAATTACATTGAGGGGCAAACGAAATCTCGTTCCCACTGAGGATTGCTTTACCCCCACAGGGGTTGGTTTGGCACATGGAGACAGTGATTTGGGGTGAGCATAGGGTACCATGGAGCTGCTTGAGGGAGTGCCTGCATCGAAGCATAAAGACTGGGGACCAGCAGTCGGCGTAATGGTTACGTCGCTGGACTCCCATGTAGTCGACTGTGGTTCGAGTCCCGGACCCGGTTGCTTAAACTCAAGATGGGCGCATGTAGGGAATTAGCAGTTAGCGTAATGGCTATGTTGCTGGACTCCCATGTAGTTGACCACGGTTCGCGTCCCGGACCCGGTGGCTTAAAACTCACAATGGGCACATGTGCGTGCATGCCCAAGATCCCAAGAGGAGAATGGAGGAGAAGGGATTGCAGCGTGACCATCCCCCTGGGAGGCGGTTTCTCCCTTTCTGTCTCTATGTCTCTGGCAAGCGCATGTGCTCCATAGCAAAAACCTCTAAACAAACAAAAAAAAACAATAAAGACAGGAGCTGGGGCCACCTGGATCAAGGGGGGAGGCCGCTTCGGCAAAGGTATTTGGGTGAGAAACACAACTCAGATCAGTGTCACTGAGTCATAAAATGTAAGACTGTCCTACCAGAAGGCACTGGAGAGCCATCCAGCTTAAAAGGGACCGTAACTAACTAGTGTTTAGCTACCTCAGAGCAGTAGCATTTAATGAGCATTTGCTGCATGCGTCAGCCTCCTTACTGGGTGGGGTTTCTCTGGGCTTTGCAGCACTGTCGTATTCGCTGCGGGTCCTTAGCATACTCGGTCTCTGTCGCCCTTGCTTCTTCAGTTCATGGACAGAATGCTGACAGCTCGCGCTGCACACCAGTGTCTATGCGGAGCCCAGAGGGCATGCTGGGCGCCGCGAGTGTCCGGAGGCGCACACAGGCCATGGCGGTTAAATCGGACTGCGTGCAGCTGTGACATGTGCTGAGCACCGAGACTCGACTGCAGCGCCAGCCCACAGCACAGTGGCTAAGCCCCTGGGTAGGGAGCGGGTCCCACACAGACGCTGCAGGTCAGACCTGGTCCCAGGGGCTGGGAAACGCCAGGCACGTGTGCACGTGTGCCCCCACCCAGACAAGACAGCACAGGTGTGGCTGGCCCTTTTGTGCCACAGTTAAGTGCTGTCCACTGGGGCTGGGTCTCACGGGGCTGAATTCTCTTGGAATCCCAGCCCTTGACTAGGAAAACGCCAGGAACATGTGTGTGCCCAGTCCTGACCAGTGGAAGAGCAGAGAGCGTTGTGGCAGGACTGCACCCGCTGCATGTGCCTGCGGCAGCTCGCCCACTCAGCTCTCTAGCAAGAACGTGCACCGTTTTGCCATTAGGAACCTACTCCTCTTGTAAACAGGTGTGAGGCAATCTTTGAAAACGGCTCACTGTTCTCCGGGCCCAGAGAGCCCCAGAGTCGTGTAAGCGAGAGGGGCGAGTCTTTGTGTTCACTCTAAGGACGCCCGTGAAAGTGCCCGGCCACCACGTGTCCGAAGGCTGTCCTTCAGCAGTGTGTGCCGAC